CAAAATGAAGAGCGAAAGAATAACAAGAAATGAGAAATGTTAGGCATCAGCTTTTTGTATATTTTTATTACATTTATTTATTTGTTTAGCGTTTGAGTGTGTGTATGTAGAGATTGGTGGAAAACTTGTGGGAGTTGGTTGTCACCTACCACCATGTGGATCTGAGGCAGGAATTCTCAACTTGTGGGTTGAGACTTGTTTAGGAAACCTCTATCTCCAAAAACATTTTCATTATGACCCAGGACAATAGCAAAATTGCATTTTTGAAGTAGCAATGGAAATAATTTTATCGTTGGAGGTCACTACATCACTAGGAACTCTAAAGGGTTGCAGCATTAGGAAGGCTGATATTCCTGATTTAGGGGGAAAAAACTCAGGTTATCAGGCTCCACAGCAAGCAGCTTTATCATCGGAGCCATCTTGCCCCCTTTTTATTGTTTTTAAGAAGAGACTTATAGATTGATATGATATATGTACCAGTTATCAGATAACTCAACTGACTGTTACTCCAACATGAGAGGGAAGGAACAGTTAACTACATATATTCACTTTAAGTAAAATAATAATGATGGTATGATAGTAATAATTTGAAAAGAGGGCCAGAAAGATAACACCAGAAGCACTTGCCACCAAGCCAGGACTCAGATGGTATAAAGAGAGAACCAGTTCCCACTAGCTGTCCTCTGCCCTCCACACACATGTGAACCACACAGTTACACCCAAAGTAAACAGATAAATTAATAAATGTGATAAAAACAATGTAAACGAATTTTAAAATCTCCGAAGAGATTGGGTGGCATCGTGAGTTACATAGTTCAAGACCAAATCTACAGCTTTGCAGACCCAAAATTGTCACTGAACTTAAGCCTGAGCAGAAATGAGGCCATAGGACATGAGGACAAAACTTAACATTTAGAAATTAGATCGCAAAAGAACCCAGGAAAACAGTTCATGAGAAAAGGAAGAATGCAGACTTTATTTTGATCAACATCTTAGCATTGGTAGTTCAATAAATTTACTTAGCATTAGCTGAACGCCTGGTGTATCTAGACTCCATGCTCTTCAATGGTGGTTCTACTACCAGAACTAAAGCATGGCTTAAGAGATACACAGAGAATCAACTTCCATATACATGGATTTAGTATATATTTTTTCTTAAAAATTCATCACCCTGATGACTCCTGTTCTTTCTTCCCACCTCTCCTCCCAAATAGTCCTTCTTCTACTGTGTAAAAGACATCTTCTCACATTTGCCAGTGACTTGTATACTCCAGTGGTGACATAGGAGATCTATCATTTTCCATGTGCCAATGAATAAACATTAGCTATGGTCTCTAGAATATTTGCAGTGCTTTAAATATATCTAGGTTATTCGAACTTCACCTTCCTTACTTGTAAAACGGAGTTTATGATAGGAATGTGCACTCAAAATGTATGATGTATGAAACAGCCATTGTAATGTCTGTTGAAGATTCATAGATATGTATGTAATGTTGATTACACATCTTGCTCTATTGGGGTTGTTATGTGATTTTTCAGGAATCAAAATCCATAAAATCTTTTTTGTGCCTCATGATGGAGGATGGCAAGGAAGTCACTCAGTAGCTAATGTCTCTTTACCGTATGTCAATAGCTTTAGTGCTTATCTTATAAATAAATGGTGGTTCACAATACTTCTCCACATGGATGGTGATTAGCATGTCACAGCCATTATTAGACTGGTTTGGTTGAAGTACAATAGAATAATGACTGAAGAGAGTCTCTTTGAGGACCATTGTCATTCTCAGTACAATTCTGAGTCTTTATTTGACATGAATTCTAAACAAAGCAGGCTGCTTAAAATTTCGTGTTGACTTTTAACCTGAGGGGTAGTCAATTTATTTAAGTGATAGTTTGACTAAATTTTCTAAATTATTCTATTTATCTGAAAGCAGCAACTGCTTTGAATGGTTCTGCATGGTTAACAGCTGCTGGCTATGGATGAACTCGCTGAGGAATGACTAGAGCTCAGCAGAAAGGTCTTCAGGGACCATGGGCTCTCCCAATGTGTGGATAAGATTGAGGATCAGTTTTCTCATTGTATTCTTTTTTTTATTTTTATACTTAAATTTGCCAAAGGAGATCTGAAACTGAATGTAAACTGGAAAGAAAAACATATTCTTACCTAACCAATATTTATTGCATGTCTGCATAGAAGGTAAACTGTAGGATTTTTTTCTTACAGATTTTCTTGCTCAGATGTATACACTTTCACATCTATTCTTAATTTGCTGAGAATTGTTTATTTAATTGGGAATAGAGAGTCTTTGAAATTTGGCAAATGCTCTTGAGTATTGTTGAGATGGAGATGATGTGTTTGATATGTCAGTGACGTTGAGTGTTGATCAAATCTTTTATTTTATGATAAAATCCACTTGCATATTACCTATAATTCTTTGTATACATTACTGGCTTTTGTTTCCTATTTTTTAGAGATTTTGCATATATATTTCTGATTAAAATCAGTCTACAGTTTTTTATTTCTCCTACAATTTCATTCACTTGAGTTAGCTAGAAAGCTCACCTGTGTCTTCAGTCTTCTGTTTGTACTTGTACTACTGTGCTTGGCTGATCTTTGCCTTTTGAGTAACTGTCAATGGTTCATTTCATCTGGACTTCAAGAGCAACATCATAATGCTTGTAGAATTTCCTTCTTGAAATCAGTAGGATCTGAGCTAATAATGTCTTTCCATTCTTCAGTCTTAATAAATCCTGTCATCTTTTCTTTATCATTTTTACCATGTGAGGATCTAACCTAGAACCCTATGCATTCTAGACAAGTGTTTTACTACCAATCCCTATCACCCTGCCCCATCTTCCTTTTAATGATCAGTAATGCACTTTAATAATATTACTAATCTTCTCAGAGATTCAATGTTCAGTGTCATTGTTTCTTTCTCTATTATTTGTCCTGTGGTCTCTTTTTGATTCTCACTCTGCTTTGCCCAAACAGATATACAAATGCACATACATGCACATGCTGCAGCTTACTGTGGCTTTAATATGTTTGCTGGGAGCTATTTATTTGGCTTTTGCTCTTTTGGTTTTGAAAGTAGAAATTAAATGTATCGATTGGAGACTTTTTCCTCTTCTCTAATGTAGGCAATTAGTCTTCTTCTGTTTACTCCCTGAGTGGTATTTAGTGGTTTATGAGAGTTTTTGATATATTGTGATTTCTTTTTCATTCTGTTAAAAATACTTAATTATTTCACTTTTGGTTTTCTCTGTGGTCCATGGGTATTTAAAATTCTCCTATTTATATTACAAATACTCGGGGGTTATCATAGGTTTCTATAATTGTTTTTTTAACTTAATTCTACATCATTCAGGGACCGCAATTCATGTGGCATGAATCTTGTATATACTAATGTTTTTTTATGACAGGGTCTTATTCCATATTCTAGACTGGCGTGAAACTCACAATGTAGCCAAGACAAAGATACTAACAATGAGAAATACTCAAGCGTCAGTTTCCTGTGTGTTGGAATTACAGCTATGTGCCACCATGCCAGACTATTGACACCTCTCATATAGTCCAGAGTATAGTGCATGAAGAGATGTGTTTTCTGGTTTTGTTCTTTAGATATGCATTAGGTCAACTTGATCTATCATATGCTTCAAATCTATATCATTGTTTTTCTGTTCACATGTTAAACATGAAAGGACTCGAAAACCAATCATAGATATGTTTACCCTTCTCTTTGTATTAGTATGTTTTTGTTCAAAATATCTTGAAATTCCAGCTTCTACTCTTATAAAAGATCATCTTTATTTTGATAAGGGTCTTTATTTTGAAGGCATCAATACTAATATAGTGTTATTTTTCAATCTTTTTTGACATGTGTTTTATACAGACATACACAATTCTTTTTCATTTTTCATTTTGCCATTATATTGAAAATACATAATGAAATAAAACATACTACAGGTGGGTGTTAGTTTTCTGTTCAGTAGACAACCTATCCATTTTATTGAGATGTATGCTTTGTAGACATTTAAATTGACTGTTGATTGGATTAGGTTTGAATGTGTTATCTTGCTGTTATTTTTCATTCATTCTGTTTCCATTTTGGGGGGGCTTTTGTGGATTAATAGACACTTTTATATGAACTATTTTTCCACCTGTTGGTGCACTGTGTGTATTTCATTGTTATCTTATTTTAGTGAGGTTTTAGCCATTAAACATTGACTCTCAACACCCAGTGCTAGCACATAATAAAACAACTAATAACATTCTCAGAACTCTTATGCAAGACAGGGTGTATGTCGAGTTACAAACATACATACCTCACACCTCAATCCTAAAGCACCTGATCCTGTTTGCATCAGCACCAGGTCTAGATGCCAATGTGCATCTTTTAAGGTCCAGATGTGCTTTCTTTTCTCTTCTATCAATGGAATACCAATGCATTGTCTTAGCAAACTCTTCTTTCAGCATTTGATATGGTTTCCTCTTATTTGCCAATAGTATCTCTCAGTAAGAATTAAAATACTAAACCAGAAAGATGGTTCAGTTGGCAAAGTGCTTGCTGCACAAGCTTGTGTGCCTTAAACACCCCATGTAAAAAGCCTGGAGTGGAGACACAAATTTCTCATCCCAGTGCTAGACAGGTGGAAATAGAAAAATACCTGATACTTGCAGGCCTGACAGTCAAGCTGAGTCAGTAAAGTCCATGTCCAATGAGAAATCCTGTCTCAAAAAGCAATTTACAGAGAAATTAAAGAAGACACCCAGTAGCCTCTGAAAACTCACCATGAAAATGTATACAGCCATGCAAAACACACACATACACACACACACACACACACACTGAGAAAGGTGAGAAGGATATTAAAATATCTGCGAAATGACAAATACTCTTAAGCTGATGGAAGAAACGGGGCAGATTGCTATAGGAGTGTATCTACTGGATTGACCATCAACTACTGCTAACCCCTCTCGTGGTGTTTCCATTGTACAGTGCCTTGCTACATGGGAATCATTCCTCACATCACAGACTGATCTCCCCTTGGAAGAAGACTCTGAAGATAAACTTTAATCCTATGGAAGGCTCCTGTTTGATCTTTGAGAGACAGCATCTATCAACCAAAGTTATTTTTTCTGGATTGGCTTTGCCCTTTATAAAGAAGATGACAAATGATTTTGCACTGTCTGGAAAACCAACAACTTAAAAACTCAGGTATTCCAGGTCATCAAGGTGAATTTGTGGTATAAATATATCTATCTAGATATATAGGTCTATTATGTGATATATATTCTATAGATCTATAAATCTGTTATATGGATAGATATTTATCTATTGTCTATGTGGATAGGAAGATATTTGGTGTAATTTTAATTATGTTCTTAAATTTATGTGCCATTAATTACATATAGAGGTTTTTTTTCTTACGTATTTTACTGTGGAATATTAAATTTTTCAGTATGTTGCAAAGACTTGGTTTTAATAAAATCTTTAATAAGAAATGGGTGTCTATGATGTGTTCATTTTCTCTCAGAGGTAAATCTTCTGAAACAGTTTTAACATTAATTCATTATGTATTATTAAGCATATTATGCATGTACTTTAATGTCATCATAATTTACTTTGATATTAAGAGTTTGAAGTAAATGTACAAAATTATTAAACATGAATAACAGATGTTTAAAATTTTATTAAATAAAGTGATTGTTTTCAACAATGTAAAAATTTTCCAAAGTAGGTTTAAGTTATTATTTGTCTTATTATTTAGACATTGCCATACAACCTATTCACAGTAATAGAGTCTCTTTTTTTGTAAATTTTTGCATATCTTTACAACTTACATCCAGCTTTTATTTTTAATGCATGCAGCATCTTGAGTGTACCTATTACAAAGCTGTGCTGTGAGGGCTTGTGGTCCACATTGATGAAGAATGTTCATAAGTGTGTCTGTGTTTCGAATGCTGCTTAGGTGTCAGGACACCACTCAGAGAAGCTAGGCTATGTTCCTTTCTTGCCACTATCTGGGTGTCGGGCTCGAGGGACATACCAACACAATGTTCAGGGGAGGCGAAAGCAGTCTATCTAATATTGGGGCCCCAACCCGTGAGAACCGGAGCAGGCTGGGGCCAAGGCTGTGGTTTTCAATCTCCTGGGCACTCAGATACTGCTGGAAAACTCAAGGAGCTGAGAACAGAGCCCAAAGGCCTGAGATGAGCCCAGGGTGGAAGAAATCCTGCTTAGCTCAGGGTGAGTGTCAAGAGCTCCAAGCGGCCCTCTGCCGGATACTTAGGCAGCCTGGCACAGTAACGAAGGCTTACTGCTCTCACGGTGGTCCTTGATAAGAGAGACAGTCTTTGCTTGTCCAAACTGTTTGTTCATGGTGGAAAGGGTCCATACAACTTACTCAAGGTGGACCAGAGATTAAATACCTTTTGCAGGAAGGAATGTCCAGGAAGGTAGGCTTATTAGCTAAACCCTCGGGGCCAGCCCATCTAGATACCTCCTTAGCATGAAGATGTCTAGGCTATATGCTATGATGACCAGTTGTTATGGTCCTCTTAATGAAGTGCAGTGGTCATGTGCTCCAGGTCAGGAGCAGATTCAAGCCCCTACCATTCTCCACTATGAGGATTGCTGGGGTTCCTTAATCTGCTCGATCTTACCAGTTTTCCTGTCTGGTCACACAGTTCCACTTGCCCCACATTCATGTGTACTTTGCAGTTAGCACATACTGTCTTTTAGAAACAAGTTGCCAAAGGACATGTTTTCTTTACCTTCCTCAAAGCAACTAGTTTTACAGAAAAGCAAATCCTGGTTTGAGGAGACATTCCGGTAGCTATTACATGGAATCGTGATTACATGGAATCAATGAAAATCATAATATGTTTTTAAAACAGCTGTTTTTAAACATTTCAAATACATATAATTGCTTGGAGGCAGGAAGCGCAGTCAGTTCTTTCTAAGGAGTCCACTCCCTCCTTTCATTTCAGTTCCCTAGAGGAAAACTAAAACCATTTCACTTAACTGATGGATCAGTCACAGCAGAAGATGTGAGATAGGGTCTCACTATATCATCCTGGCTGACTTGGGACTTGCTTTATAGGTTAGGGTGTCTAAATTTGGAGAAATCCTCCTGCGTCTCCCTCCCAAGGCCTGGGTTACACAGTTGATAGAATGCTTATCTTCCATTTACAAAGCCCCAATTCAACCATTAGTAACACATGAACTGGTGAGGTGGCACAAGCCTGTTATCCTAGTGCTTAGAGTGGAGCCAGGAGAATCAAGACTTTCTTTAAAGGTAACCAGTATTGGCTACATAGCAAGTTTGAAACTAGCCTTTGCTACATGAAATTATATTTATATATACATATGTATAATAAAAATTATAATATTTGCATAATACTCCTATCTGGTGTGTTTAGTTAGAAGGATGAATTGACCTTGGTTCCTATCCACAAAGAATGACCTGTGACATTTATGGGTTGTAGAGATGACAAGGGGCTTGGCTATTTCCGAAATATATTTGCTCCCACAAATAAGTTTATACATATATACATCATATAATCAGAATTAATCAGAATTGAGTGAGTAAGAAACACTATTTGGTATATTTTTTCTAAAACCAGACAAACACAAAGTTATATCCCAATGTAACATAAACTGAGATGCACAATCTAGGTTTAAAGTAGAGTAATAGCTTCCTGCTTACTGATTTCCACTCTGCACAGGGAAAGAAAGTGACCGTCCCTTCCAGTATCAAGTCTGTTAAAAATCCCCGGATACAAACTAGTTTGGGGGAAATAGCCAAGCCCCTTGTTTTCTCTGCAATCCATAAATGTCACAGGTCATTCTTTGTCAATAGGAACCAAGGTCAATTCATCCTTCTAACTAAACACATCGGATAGGAGTATTATGGCTAAATTATAGGAGTGTTATAGCTAAAAAAAATAATAAATGTATGGGTTTCAATGAGACTACATGACAAATATTCATCATCCAAAGGAAAGAGCAACCTTTGCCCACAAGAAAGAAGAATCATGGGCCGGATCAACAACTCAGCCCTTGGGAGCATTTGCTGCTCTTGTAGAGGTCCGGAGTTAGGATCTCAGCATAACATAACAACCTGTGACTGCAGTTTCAGGGGACTGGGTACCAACTTCTTGACACCAAGATCACTAGAAACATGCCTGGTGCACTTGTGCAGACTGGCAAATACTCAGGTAAATTGGAAATTAAAACAGAAAGATAAAAGGGTAAAGAAATTACATCATAATTTTACATCAGCAATACAATTTTAAATGAACATGATCCTTGTAGAATTACATTATATTTAATTAATTAGCACTGTTCTTATGTCTGCAGTTCTTCAGCAAGCTAGGTCTAATGTAACAATGCCTCTTCAGAGCTCATGGATGGGAGATTACAAGTGTAAATAAGCCATTAGTGCAGTACCTGTAGTTAGAGGGAAAGTCAGTTGTAATTTTGTCAGTTAAGAAATAGCACAGGAGTGTGAGATTAGAGCTGTTAGTGTGCTCACCTATATTAAGAATAACCTTTACATTAGATTTGATTGAGCATGCGCTCAGTATCTGAAATGCATGCCTATACTAACTGCTGAAAGGAGATTCCACTGGGACACATTCCTGTGGAGAAGATAATGAAAGACAAGGCTGAGATCACCTCTTTAACAAGGAGGTTGAGCTGTGATTATGTTACCATGAATGGAATAAAGGGGCGTGGCTGCATCCACCCTTCCCTAAAGATCAAGTTCAAGCTAATATTTATAGAAGGTTCAAAGTCATGACATTTTCTGTGGTTTAGAGATTTCTTTCTCTGAGTATCTTAAGCCAGGCTAGTGCCTAGCAATTTAAGGGCATTTGGTCACATTCAAGTAAATGTCTACACAATGGTAGCACAGAATCCTGTAAGGAATCAACTGATTGCTGAACCCCACAGTCATGGGATGTTTTTACCCGTTTTAGGATTCATTCAGGTGATTTGAGACAGAGCTGGGCTGTTTTGGATTTTGAAAGCAGTCAGTTTTAACACATCACAAATGAAACCTTCACAAATACTACATTGCACAGAAACAAATCATGGCTAAAGCAGTAGTATTGTACTCATTTATATCCTTCTATGTGATTATTCTCAAAGGACTTAATGTAGCATCGTCTTTTGATTTATATTCTTTTATTAATCATTTTATTCATCTACATTTCAAATGATATCCCCCTTCCTGGTTACCCTTCCACAAACCCCCACTTTTAAGTAGAGGTTATCTTATTTCCATTTTTTTTTCTGAGGATAAGCGGGATAATCAAAGATTTCTGACAACTGTAGAGTCACAAGATCAATCAATCCTGGTATGCCTTCCAAAGTACCTGCTCACAGTTCCATCCTTCAGCAGGGCCTAAGGGTTGAACACAGGAGGAAATACTTGAATTTTGTCTTTTCGCTTGTCTGCTTAGTTGAACCATCCTAGCATCGTGGTGTTTAAGATCCAGGATCTAGTATTATTTCTATCAACGTTTAAGAGATGAGAAAAACTCCAAGAGTATGAGGCCCCTGCCTATTGTCATTTATCTCAGTCCTTGCCCATTCTCTAGCATTGTCAGCATAGAGGCCTCTCCTCATCACACTCTTTGAAAGCCTTTCTGACATTTAGACTAGTGTTCATCCAACCACAAGGTTCTAACTCATTAGACCCAGGCAGTTTTCCATGGTCCATTACATAGCAAGAAAATTTAAGGATGATGTACTTTGGTGTTGATATATCCAAGTCTAACTTTAGGTGTGCGTTGTTTTGAAATTTTTCCGTTTAAAGTCCTTAGTTACACTGATTCTAGAATATATTAAGAACCGTTGTAAAACCTTTACATGAAAAAATAAAAAGAACGTGTTTGTAGGGCCACTTTGACAAGGTCTTCAGATATTCGATCAATTGCTAACTGTTTCTGTGAGTGTGTGTACAAACAAATTTAAGACTGGTTCGTTTTTAAATTAATTTAATTTTTTCATTCACTTAACATCTCACTCACTGCCTCTCTCATGGTCACCCCTCCATAATCCTTCCCCAAGTGCCCCTTTCCTTCTCCTCTGAACTGGTGAGGGCCCCTGGGTATCCCCCTACCCTGGCACTTCAGGTTTCTGCAAGACTAGGCATTTCCTCTCCAACTGAGGCCAGACAATGCAGCCCAGCTAGAAGAACATATCCCACCTACAGACAACAGCTTTGAGGATAGCCCCTGTTCCAGTTGTTTGGGATACACAGGAAGACCAAGCTGTACCTCTGCTACATATGTTAGGGGAGGTGTAGGTCAAGTCTCTGAGAGCCCCAAGGGTTCAGGTTAGTTAACTCTGTTAATCTTCTTGTAGAGTTCCTATCCCCTTTTGGGCTTACAATCCTTTTCCCTACTCTTCCATAGCAGTCCCCACGCTACATCTACTTGTTGCCTGTGGGTGTTTGTATCCATCTGAGTCAGCTGCTTGGTGGAACCTCTCAGAGGACAACATACTCTTGTCTGTAAGCATAACAGAGTATCAATAATAGTGTCAGGGGTTGGTGCTTGCCCATGGGATGAGTCACAAGTTTGACTGATTGTTGGTTGTCCATTCTCTCAGTCTTTGCTCCATTTCCCTGTGCCTGAATTTCTTGTAGACAGGATGAATTTTGGGTTGAAAGTTTTGTGGATGGGATAGTGTATCTATCACTCCACTGAGGTTTCTCCCAGGCTACAGGAGGTGGCCTTTTTATATTCCATATCCTCAATGTTGTGAGCCATAGATAAGGTCACACTCATTGATTCTTGGGCACCTCCCTTATCCATTCTTCAGTTGAGGGACATCTAGGTTGTTTCCAGTTTCTGGTTATTACAAATA